GTGTGTGTACGTATTCAGTGTGTGCGGGGTGTGTGTGTATGTATTCAGTGTGTGTGTGTGTGTGTATGGTGTGTGGTATATGTGTGTATTTGTGGTATGTGTTGGTGTGCGTGTGTGTGTGTGTGTATGGTGTGTGTGTGTATGGTGTGTGGTATATGTGTGTGTGGTGTGTGTGTTTGTGGTATGTGTTGGTGTGCGTGTGTGTATTTGTGTGTGTGTGTGTGTGTGTATGTGTGTGTGTGTGTGTGATGTATATATGTGTGTAGCTAGTAGATTAAACATGACTGAAAAGACAGAAAACTGAGCTGGGCCTGGTATCGTACTCCTATAAACCCAGCACTGAGGAGGCTGAGGCAGGAGGATCCTGAGTTTGAGGCCAGCCTGAGCTACATAGTGAGATCCCCATCAGAAGTAAGAGAAGGGGAAAGAGGAACAGAGGGTGCAGGAGAGGAAGAGGAGGAAGAGGAGGAGGGAGAAGGAGAAAACTAGTCACCAAATGCAAAGTCTGGACCTTATTTGAAGGTAGGCGGAGAAGCCGAGCAGGTTGGACGCTGATACTGTGGACCATTTACATGGCATTGCTGGGGGTTAGTCTAGCTGGAGGAAAGGGATGAGGAGCATAGGGTAAAGCAGCACAGCTAGTTGTCCCCTCCTGGCGTTCCTCCCGAGCACTCACGGGGTGTTCTTCACATCTGGGGAACCTGTCTCCTTCTTGGCCTTCCCCCTCTGCGAATCAGAACAACAGCAGCCACATCACAGGGTCATCTGGGGATGAAGTGGGGTCACACAGATGGAGCTCAAGTGTCACTGTGTGACCCTGCTGGCTGCAGAGCCCACTAGTAACCGTGACAGACACTGGTGACACACAGCAGAGGCTAACAGCCAGCCACTCAGCTGCTGTCACGTGAGGCTGTAGGACCTCATGGTGGGTGCGGGGTGGGGTGGGGTGGGGGTTTGAGTCACAGTGAGCAGGCAGCTGCTTCGTTAAGCACGATGGAATGTTCTTTAGAGAATAAGAGTGTGACATGACTCGGAGTCCAGCTTTTAAGCCATGACACTGGGGTCCATGGGGGGATGGACAAGAGGGCAGTGGTGGAAGGAGGACTGAGGGGCAGGAGTCTCCCTCAGTTGGTGTGGCCTGACTTGGGGCTAGCACTGAAGGCGGGAAACGGATGTTGCACCCGTATTCTAATGGGCTTGTGGGTACATGAATGAGAAAGGAGATGAACAAACGTGACTCCTGGGAGCTTGACTTTAGTAACTAAAATGGGGATAGGTCTTGGTGGAGACAAACCATGAGCTGTTGACCAGATGTCCAATCTGAGGGCTAAACAGAGGTTCATTGAGTCAACAATTTAGAAGGGTCTTGACTTGCTGTGCAGGCCTACTGTGACACCCACTGACCACTGGCCATAGGTGCTACTTAAGTTCCAAATAAAATAAAATGGGCTGGAGAAATGGCTTGGTGATTAAGAGCACTTACAGAGGACCCAGGTTCGGTTCCCAGCACCCACATGGCAGCTCACAACTGTCTGCAACTGTGGTTCCAGGGGATCTAATGCCCTCTTCTGGTCTCCATGGGTACTGCACACAGGTGGTACACATACACATATCCATATGAAACACTCATATTCATACAAATTTAAGAAATATAGAATAAAATCAAACAAAACAATTAGTCCTGTCAAGTACTCATAGCCATGGAAGTGGGTGAATGGCTGCCATACCGGGAAACAGTCTGTACAACATCCCTCCACTGCAGGTTGGGCAGTGCCATTTGACCTTGGGCATAGCTAGGTATATATTTCAGTGGTAGAGTAGCCTGAGTAAGGCCCTGGATCCAGTCCTCAGCAGTGCAAAACAATACCCTTCCCCAAAACAAAACAATAAACTTAACCCCTTAAGGCTGGACATGGTCATAGGAGAGTGAAGACATAGAGAAGAAAGAGAAAGGTTGAACTTAGGGCACTGGACCCTCCAAAGGTGAGTATATGACAAGTCTAGACATCACCAGCAAAGGAGCCAGAAAAGAAAGAGGCTAGATATCAACACACACAATCTCCCAAGAAAGGGCTCTGGGAGTGCTAAGCCTGCCATTATTATATATAATATATTTAAAGATAAAACTACACTTCCATAACTTGCTCTTTCTGCTCAACAGTGCCTTGTCAGCTGCCCATGTTAGGTGTCAGTTTATTTTTACAGTTATTTTTAATGGACACCAAGAAATCATGAAGCTCATTGTTAAAAGGTGCCGTTTTGGGGGCTGGAACAATGGCAGCCACAACATGCGCTCGTGGCTTGGGGACACTTGAAAAGTGGCTAGGGAGACCCAGGACTTAACATTCTTACTTATTTAACTTCCGTGAATTCAAATAGCCACATGTGGGTTGTGGCTTCTGTCACCTGCCTTTGGGAGGTCAATATAGTGACTTCATCTGGTTGTACTTTCTTTCTTCTTCATCAGTGGAAGGCATCAGGGTGAGGTTTGCAAACACACTCTGGTATGCAGAAATTTAAACAGTGAAGGATGAATTTGTTCTTCAAGTGATTGACAGGTTGCTCACAAAAGCACCTGACACCAGCCAGTGAGGGAGACCTGATGGGTATTTTATCCCATGAACAAGCAGGGAAGAACACTACTCATGGGTCCCTCTACCCTGAAGGGCAACCTCTGCTACATCCAAGCACCGCGAGTATCATGGGGCATCACGGCGCACATCACAGGTATGCTGTGCCTGTGAATTGCAAGACGGATTTTGGCCACAGCTGCTGCATGACAGACACTACTGGAGAGAACGAGGGGACATAGGGATTGGGACTCTTAGCTCACTTTGCTGAACCAGTTTTGCCACCAAGAACCTGGTTTTGATTTTGTACCTGTTTCAATCTTGCCTGTTCGAAGACTCAGCCCCGGCCCAGCCCAGTGTGAGCAGAGCCTAATCCTCCTGTTGTGACCTCACTGTGCTCCCCACAACCTGCCTCAGGACCTAGGCCCTGCACCCTGCTACTTCCTGGGGTCAGGTTGGACTTGCAAACAGGCTAGTCACAGGGAAAAGCAGGGCTACCCTGTAGCGGTCGACTTTCCAGGACAGCGAGCACGTGAAATCCTTCCGTCAACTCTCTGCCGCACGACTGTCCCCCAGGTGTGTGGCCAGCTATAATGAACTGTTTGCACAGTGGAAGCCAGTGGGCCACTCGGGCAGGCCTCAGTGATTTTGCGGCTGACTTTCCATCGCTGTCCCTTTGCAGATGTCAGACCTGTTCTCTATGATGTGAGTGCTGTGCACAGCCTCTCCCCACCTGATAGGCATTGGGACTTTTAATAAACCCATTCCCTGGTCCCACGGCTGCTGTGAGACACAGCATCCTGGGGCAGCTACATCCACCCCTGCTGGCTCATTCTGTGCAAATGGCAGGTACCCTGGCTGTGGCTAGCTCACCAGCTGGGGAGGTCTTCTCAAGATGCTTCCTATCCAAAGAGTACTTAGAAGTACTTAAAAGTGCTTAAGGAAAAAACAAAACAAAAACAAAAACAAAAACAAAAAAACCCTGGGGGTAAGTGTTTTTTTCTTCACAGGGAGAAATGACCAAAAAAGTGTGGAATAAGGAGAGCCAGATGTTAGAAGGGAGTGATCCAGAGGCATGCAAAACTCTCTGAATTTCACTAAACTTGGGATGGAGGCGGGGCCTGCCCTCTCCCAAGTCCCTGGGAAGGTTGTGCTTGCCTGGCACCCTGTACTTTGCTCCCTGCAAAATGAAGTCTCCCTCCCTTGCATGTCAGTGTGAATGAGGGTCTAAGTTTCCATTCATTTAAAACAAAGGCTGGCCACAACCAGGTCTGCTCTGGAGACGGCAAAGTACCAGTCCTGCGCTTGGCCGGAAAGGGAACTAGTGGAGCTTTGGGTGTCTGTTGCTTGGAAAGTGGGTCCAGGCGGTTGTGCGCATCAGGCCTGTGCTGGGGGCGGGCTTTGCCCCAGGCCAAGCAGGGGTGGTGGTGAAGGAACTGGCTCGAGATGAGGCTGATTCACGATCAGGACCCCGGGGTGACAGGCAGGGCAAGGCAGGAGGGAGAGTGGAGAGATGGAGCTGATTGGCCCCTTCCTGTAATACTGGAGCCTCTTACTGTGCGCCGGCCTTGAACTGGGCTTGTCTTTGGCAATCTGTCCTGGACTCTGTTTTGGGACCCAGAGGCTCTTCCTTGCCTGATAGCCACTTCTATGGGCTTTATCTGAGTTCCCACCCCAGGAACCTTCTACACACTCTTTCCTCCCGGCTTTAAATACTGGGGTCAGATGAGCCATGTCCCCCAACCCCAAGACCTCTATGTGACAATCCCGAGAGCCTGTGTGGTCTGCTCCTAGCCTTGCATTTTTCAGGCTGCCCTTAGTTGCCTCCTTTGCTTCTGTTCAGTCTTTGCTCAGGGTCTCCTCCCCTCTTCTCAATAAGCTGACCACAAAAGACCCAGAGAGAAGATGGATAGTTGCCAGGCAGACTGATAACCTTCCCTTGTGGGCAGAGGCAGAAGGGAGGCAAGGGAGGTGTAGGCAATGAGGGGAATTTTGGCTCAGCTGGTGGGGAGAATGAGGGACACAAGCTGGGGTCACCCAGGAAGAAGGGTGCCCCCCACATCACTGAACAGGATGGAAGCCAGTCTCTGCCTGAATCTCTTCCATCTGAGTGTCCAAGAGATTCAGAGCCATACCACATTGTCCACATAGCCCCATTAGCTCTTTCTCTCTCTTTAAGGTGGGGCCTTGGGACCATGTGGCTCATGAGACAGCACCAAGAAGCCCAGTCAAGCCCAAAGGATCTCTTCAGAGAACAGAAAGCCTCGTTTTCATGATGAGAAACACAAGCTTGGAAGGGGAGCCAGGTCCCAGATCCTAGCTTGCCATCCATTCTGCTCACCCTGTACCTTAGGCCATGTACCCACGCAGGACACCTGAGGTGACAGCCACTTGGGACATCAGAACTCCATGGCTTAGCCAGACACTTACTCAAGTCTTTCTTCTTCTCTTCTCCGGAGGTCAAAGTCCCGCTGAAGCACGGCCCATACATGCTTGGCCTCCTCATCTGTGAGCTTGGAGAGGTCCAGTTTCTTCCCCATCTCTGTGCCTCATCCAGGCCGCACCTGGAAAGTCACAGGATCACAACCAATCAACTCCAGGAGGCTCCAGGGACACCAAATAAGTCACAGAGTATGAGGCAGATCATAAAAACACCCGTGGATTCCTCAGGATGCATGCACACTGAGCTTTTTAAATGGATGAATATCTGTCTGGGGCTAGGACCATTTAATAAATTTTGCGCAGTTTAAAGGAATGGAGTAAGATGTGTAAGGGAAATAGCTCTTGCCCCTGGGGCATGGACATCAACCCCCACTACTGTGAGGTGAGTGCCCATGGCTCCCCATTACATTTGCTCGGAAGAGAGGAAAACAAGTCAAGTCTGGTCCGTCTCTGAGTCCCTGGGGCCATTCCCCACGACCTTCAGAGCTGAGAATGCTGGTCTCCGAGAGCAGGGGTGCTTTGGAGACCGGCCCCCCACGCAGGCATGATGGCTACCCTCCACTGTCAATGTGACTGGATTTAAAATTATCTAGAAGACACACCTCTGGGTCTATCTACACGAGGTTTAGCTGAGGAGGAAAGACCCACCCTGGGTGTAGGCAGTCCATCCCATAGGCTGGGGTCCCTCACTGAAGAAAATGGACAAAGGAGAAAGAGAGCTGACCACCAGCATTCATCTCTGTCCTCATCACGACTGTGGACTCTATGTGACCACCTGCCAGATGCTCCCGCCACCAGACTAGTCACATGATGGACTGTGTCCTTCAACTTTGAGCCCAAAATCAATTTTTCCTTCCTTAAGTTGCATTTTTCATAACAAGAAGTAACAAACGCCATAGGAACAGTGAGACGATTCCTCATCGTCCGAAAGATTTATGTCTTCTGGGGTGGGGCCTGCTTGCTTAGGGTTGTCACATGGCAGAGAGACCCCCATAGGAATGTCATCGTAGTATGACGCCCAATGTGCTTGCTTCAGGAATATTCACGCAGGGCTCACAGTGAGACTAAAGGAAGAACACTTGAATGGGCAAGATGGTTAGGGCTGCAAATGTTGCTCACTGGAAGAGGTCAGCTGAGGGACTGTCCAGTGGGAATTCTCGTGCCCAGTGCGTGTTAGGGTCACCTGACAATGGCAACAGCCAGGACTCCTGGGATTCTGGATGGTTCCCTTGCAGTCAGAGAAGCAAGGCCCTGAGTGTACTGGTGTGCTGTGTTTCTAGATGACCCAAGGGAGTGGAAGTCAAACCAGATTTTTGATTAATTAATTAATTTAAACAAAACTAATTAATTAATTAATCAAAATAAAATAAATTAATTAATTTTGCTTCAGGCATAGTCTTGCTGTGTGACCCAGACTAGAATGAAACTCTCAATCCCCCTGCCTTAGGCTCCTGAGTTTTGATGTTATGTTTTTGTACCTTCACACGGATTTCACATGGAAACTTCAGATTTTGAAGTTCTCCAAACCTGATATCCTTGCTAACGTCAATGTTAATGGACACAGAAAGAAAAATTCAGATGTCAGACCGAAAGATGGCAGAACCTGGGGACATTACTCTAAGTGTGGTCCACACTGGCAGCCTGCTTTAGAAGTTGGTTAGGATGAAGGTTCTCCGGCTCTGCCCAGCCTTGCAGACCAGGAAGCTGCATTTTGGCCAGCTCCTCAGGCAGCTGTGAGCATGTTAGAGTGGACTGAGCTAGTCTACAGATTCCTGTGGGTGTCAATACTATGGGTTGGGGGTCATTTATTTAGTAGTTACTAACAGATTCAGTCTGCATGCTCTGTGACAGGACCACTGCGGGGTGGGCAATGGGTGTGAGGCAGGCCAATGATGGTGATGGTGTAGAGGAGCAGAGAAGGGATGCTCTCATATTGGCTTTTTGGATAGAGATGCCACACGGTTCTCACAGGTCATATCAATGTGACACTCTGTCTGGGCATCACTGACAGTGGAGGACCTTTCCTCATGCATCCTCACTGAGTGCATGGCACAGCTCTACCCACGGCCGACAGAGGGTGTCTCTGACCACATGGTGGGCTCTACTCCTTTGCTGGTCACTCCCTACTTCCACCCTTCTGAAGTTTCTTCATACTTCCTAGTGGTCAGTGAGGTCATGTGACTGTTAAGCTCCAGGGGGACAGTAACTCTGCCTCTGGTACGTAGGTCCTTTCTATGTTCCTCACTGTTTGCAGCAGGTCATTTTGGGAAGCCCATGGGTGACCCTTAGTCCAGCTGGCTCAGAAACCATATAGTCTTTGAGAGGGCTGTGTTTAGATGTCAGAAAGACCTGTTTTGGGTAACTGAGAGTTGAATAGCACTGGGAGAGCCTGGCAAGTCTTCCTTAAGGATTTGACCTATTTTCTTGGAAATAATAGAGAAAGGGACCAATCAGGTGCTCTCATGGGGAACCTGCAAACCACCTGGAAGTCTCCATCTTGCTTTCAAATTCTGAGATACACCCTCCTTCAGAGCCACCAAACAGTCAGAAGCAGTCAGTATGAACATTTCAGAGGAACTGGTTCTATACCAGAGAAGTACTTTTTAACTTGGCCACACAGAGGTTAATTATGGCCCATAGCCTCAGCACGCAGTTGGCTGAGGCAGGAGGACCTCTGGTTGGAGGTTAGCCTGGGCTACATAGTGAGATATGTATGTCTCACAAAAAAATTCAAAACTAGCAACAAAAAAGGCTGTGAGGATTAATCTTCATTGTCAGCCTGACTGGATTCGGGATCACCTAGGAGACACACCTCTGGGTGTGTCTGTGGGTGCATTTCCAGAGAAGGTTAATGGAGGAAGGAAGACCCACCCTGAATGTGGGCAGCACCATCCCACATGCTGGGGTCCTGGACTGAATCAAAAGGAGAAATTGAGCTCAATGTGAGCGTCCATCTCTGCTTCCTGGCTGTGGGTGCAATGTGACCAGTTGTCACTTGTCACAGCTACAGTCACTATCACTGACATGCCCCCCCCCCATGCCATCCTCAAACTGTGAACGAAACTAAACCTTTCCTTGAGTGGCCTTTGTTCAGGTATTTTTTCCACAGCAAGCAGAAAAGTGAGAAATAACAGGTTAATAACAAGAAGGCAGATGTTATTAAACTGAATTTCCAAAGTCCACCACTGCCAAGCAGAGTAATCCCCCCCAACTTTCTGTGTGGCTGCCAACCAGAATAGCCCCCAACATTCTGGGTCTTCACATTGGTGAAAGATAATTTCTCAATATTTTTTTCACTCACTCCTCAATATTCCCAATCTCCAGCACAGTGGTGATTTTGAGGAATGTATTTAGAGGGTGCCTGGTTGGCATGGGCTGGAAAGGGCCGCAAGGAGCCAGTGCATTCTTCAGGCGCCCCCCTCAGAACACGTGGTGTCTGGCTTCTAAAGAACAGAACAAGAAGTTCTTAGTAGACGGGTGACTGGAGCTCATTCATTCTGAATTCTCATCATTTTAAAGCAAGTGTCTTAACGGGCCCGTATTCACTCAAGTTCTATTCTTGGAGCAGATGAGCAGCATGACCCTCAGCTGAGGGCTCTCCCCGCCTCACCTCCTGAAGTAGAAGTCAAAGTCCATGGGCATTTAACTCCTGAGTGTGAAGGGAAAGCCAGAGGGGAAGCCACCTCTTTCTCATCCTCATAGCTTGAATTCTTTTTTAAAAATTAATTTTTTAGATTAGCACACAAAGTAATGAGTTTGTATCAAGGAATCCTCATACATATTTGTCATTATATTTTCTCAGAGGATGCTCAGTGCTAGTAAGTGGATGTACAACAATATTGACACATCAGTACCAAATCCAGAGGCCACGGCATACTGATGACATGGACCCCTCCAGCCCAGTTGAGACTATGGCATACTGATGACATGCACTCCTCCAGCCCAGTTGAGACCATGGCATACTGATGACCTGCACCCCCCCCCCCCCCAGCCCAGGTTGAGGCTGTTTCTCTTCCTATGAAGCTAGGAGGAGGAAAAGGGCCGGGGAGTTTGCTGAGCCTGAGTGGAGTCTGAATGCTTGCTGCTCAGGATGAGGCAGGAGAAGGGTCCAGACAGGTGGCAGGACAGCATGGCTGGCCCTCAGCAGTGAAGCCGAGGGTAGATCCTTGCTAGACATGTAGGGGAAGCAGTGCGGAGGGGCAGGAGCTCTGCGCCCCACACCGAGTTGGGAAATCTGTCTCGACAAAGCACATCTTGGAGGATCTATGAATGATCCCAAGTTCACTTTGCTCTGTTTACGAGATCCAGGAGGGGTGGAATTCAGTGTTTGGAAAGCACACACACCCACACCCATTGCTAAGCTAAGAACAACGTGTTGGCACCTTATGACTTGGAAGCCCTATGAAGTTTTCCTCTGATGCCCTTTTTTAGATCGAGTCCCATGTCCTTGAGTGCAGGAGGCTCTAGGGAGAGCATTTTCTGAGTCTGTCTGATGGAAACTTCGGAGGGTGTACTACTACAGGACAACACTTGTTGAGTGTATCATTGGACAATTAGAGGCTGAGAGCCAGTGTCCCCAGCATGGTATGCATCTTTACCTACCACAATAAACCCCTCCCATTTAGTGAATCGATACAAGGCCAGGGCATAAAGCTTGACTAAAATAACTATTTCTAGAAAATAATCTAAAATCAACTGAAGAATTGGTTTGATGCCAGTATTTTAAAATTGCACAAACCAAGTCAGTGGCATTTTGAGGGCACGCTGAGAGCTTCACTGCCCAGCCCAGGCCAGCATAGGACATGGGCACTTGAAGTGGGTGAAAGGGCAGCCCCTTGGTCTGCAGCCTCCAGCAAGTCAGTGCTCCCCTATCATCCCCGCTTGGCTTGCTCCTCACGAATGAGTCTGCTCCCAAGTCTGTACCTGCAATAGTGAGGGACAGGGAATGTGCCAGACCCATGGAGGGGCCAGGCTGCCCTGTGCCTGGCTAGGCAGCAGGGGATGGGTGTGTGTTAAGGCAGGACTATGCCTCTGGGCTCTGACTGTTCCTTGTCTGTGCTGATAACCCAGTCACGAGCTTCCTGAGCCCCAAAGCACTCTGAAGTTCTCTCTGCTCCACTGCTCAGTGGTGGCTTTAATCCTATTTCAAATCACCCAGATGCCAGCTGTCCCCAGTTACTTAATGATTATACTGGGAAACGGGGAGGCATCAGAAAGAGCGGCCAGCAGGAAGGAGAGATCAAAGCTAAGGGGGACCACTCAGACCCAACCGCAGAGTTTCAAGGGAATGTTGTCTTTAGCTATTAGAGATTTCAATGCGCTTTCGGTCGCATTGAAAGGGAACTTGTAGACAAAGACCTGGCTTATCTACTTCTAGGGCCATCTGCCCAGAAGCTGGCACATCAGTGACTGTGAGCAAACAATCGGGGAACAACTCAGCAGATGCCAGCTGACAGGGGCAGGGATACCCGCTGTGTGGACCAGGCAGGTCCTGTTGATAAAAGTGTAAGCAGATGTACCAGCTATGACCCCTTGGGGGCTGTCTCCAGAGCCTCTGGGTGTGGTTATGTGTGTGGACAGGGCTCACACCACACGGGTCCTGGTGATTCCAGCCTCCAGAAACAGGAGGAGCATACTGCCACCCAGAAGCACTCACTTCCCCCGCAGAAGTGCCAGATGCCAGTAAAGCCCTGGGAAGGCTCTTATGAGCAGGGGTGGTGGTGGTGGTGGTGCCTGCCATCACTTCTAGCTGGATCTTTCGGGAGCCTCACTTACCCATGGTCATTGATTCTGACCTGCATGCAAAGCCTCTGGTCCAGGCTGTGGCAAGAGCTAAACCAAGTACAGCTGCAGGGCCTGCAACTGGGCTTCCACCCCAGTTCAGTCATAGCCAGCTTTGCTGCGGACTGGTCCCTCTTCTCAAGATCTCAGGCTCCCTGTCTCAACCATGAAAGGCTGGGCTCCATGGCCTCTCTGGTCATCTCTAACCCAGCATGATGCTGGGAGCTTAGAATTAAGAGGCACCAAGGCGGTAGGGTACAGGGTATACACATGTGTATGTGTGGGGCATCTTTCAGAAGTTGCTTTTGAAAAGAACATGCTAGGGAGCCCTAAAAGGTGCTTTAAACGCTTGACCAGGGCACACGCACCTCTTTGCCCCTCCCCAGCTTCCTCCCCACCCCCCTCAATGCTCAGCATCTTCTCATGGCCACTAAAGCTTCAATCAGGAAGACCCACCGACTTCTTGTGCACGTGCCTGGACCAGGTTCTCAGTCCCGTGAGGCACCTGCCGCGGTCCCCAGTATGGAGATGGGACACTGATGAGATGGAGGAGCATGTCTCCCCTTCCCCTACCTGGTGCTGCTTGATTCTATAAAGTGACACCTTGGAGACTTGGGCAGGGGTGGTGCTCATGGCCAGGAAAGCTGTGTATTGCTAAGGCCCAGTAATCCATTGGGGGATGGGTGTCAAATGATGCATCCAGTAAGGAGCCATCAAGCACCCAGGGGTGCAGCAGCCTCACTGCCCAGCTACTCCTGATCTTTTCAGAGCATCCCTTTTCCTGAGAATTTATAGCCTGGGCATCTACTGAAGTCTTGAACCCTCATTATCACACAAAGCCCTCCTAAAGACACTTGAACAACCACACTGCAAGAAAACAGGACAGGTAAACTTGCCAACCCATTTCAGATGAAAGCAAAGAGCTGCGTTTTTAGTTCAGGTCAGTAGGATACAGGTGTACCCTCTGTGAAATCTCCCTGGGTCTGTGAGACTCAGCTCCCTCACAGGCTTGGAAACAGTGGTGGAGATGACGGCCACACCTACAGCCCACCCACCTTCCTTTCCATATCTTCACAACAAGGAGGTGGACCCAGGGAACCTATGGTCCAGAAAAAAAAAATTCCACTAAATCTGGTGCTGTCAGCGGTCTGGAGGAGGGCATGTGCCTCCTTCGTGCTCGGATCTTTTTCTTTCCTCTTGCTTGTTCAAGACCAGCTGGGCAGCCAGGAGGAAGTCTCTCTCCAAACAGCCTCTCACCCTGGGCTCCAGTCCAAGTCTCCCGGGGCGCCAGCTTTTTACCTCAAACGAGGCTTTTGATTAAAACCAACTGTTTAACACCAAACAGGCTCCCTAAGGATTTAGCCCACTGTGATCGAGGCATCCAGAAGAAGTCTAGAGTTTGGGGTTTGCTGAATGAGCACTCTCCTCACCAGCAAGGACCTAAGCCAGAGGGTGGAACTGCACCCTCCCTGAGCTGGGTTCCCTCTCACGGGGGTCCTGCAAGCTCCAAGTTCTCCATGCACTCACCAGCCTCGCTCCTGGGAACTCTCAGCCCCTGGCTTTGGCTCTTGAGTCCTGGGCTCTGCTCCTTGCCCTTAGGTCCTGAGAGAGAAACCCCGAGCACCGAGGCCCGTGTTGGGTCAGGGTGCACTGAGTTAGACAGAGCGGAGTGCAGGGAGCCAGGCAGCTGTGGCACAGGACCTGCCCAGCTTGCCGCCAGCTCAGATCACATGGCTACTCCCTGTCCCGCCCAGCTCTGGGATCACCGTGCTGTGCATCCCCGGTGCTCTGGCAGGCCAGTCGCAGAGCCAAAGCCAGGGGACCTCCTGAGAGGCGCCAGTGCAGTGTGGAGGACAGAGCCTCCTCGTCCCCCAAACTGGTTGTGGGAGAGAGGGCGGGGAGGATGGGAAGAGCCAGTTCTACCTCTCCACCCAGGTCCCTCAGAGAAGCACGTCCTCAGGGAGCGCTGCATTTCCTGGAATACCCATTCTAACTCTTCAAGGAGATGGCGTCACAGATAAGGACACTGAGGCTCAGAAAAGCGCCCTACCCAGAGTCACCAACTAGTCAGTGAGACTGTGAGCCCAGGGTTTCCAGCCAGAGTTGTGCATCCCCCAGGGCCTCAGATTGCAGGATGCAACTGGACCCAGAAAACCCCTCAATGGGCAGTCCAACCATCAGGAAATGAGACGGGCTTTAACTACTCAAAAAAGTCCAGTAGGTCTCTGGTCGGCTGCTCTCCACCCAGAGATCTGCAAGTAGAGTAGAGAGACATGGTGATGGGAAAGGTCTCCAGATCAGGGTGAGAGCCAATGCATTTTGCAGGCTTCAGGCAGCTTCAAGGCCAGCCAGCTTCTCTCTAGCCCAACAGCGTCAGAGTACTCTAACCTGGCTCCCCATTGCTCTATTTAGAAACGATTAAACAAGAAATATGCTTAGTCAGGTGTGTGGTGGTTCACACACAAAACCCAACACTTGGGAGGCAGAGGCAGGAGGATTGCTGAGAGTTTCAGACCAACCTGTGCTAGGATTGAGTTCCAGCCAGGCCAGCCTGAGCTACAGAGAGAGACCCTGTCTCAAACAAACAGTGACCTCTGTTCTTTAGGGACAACTTTTCCAACTCAGTTCTGGTGTCCGCAAAAATAGAGACAGGGACATAAAAAATAGACAGCTGCAGGGTGGACAGATGTGATAGTATTGTCTGTTGTCCCTTAGCGGGAGAGGAAAGGGAACCTTAGAGGTCGTGCTAGGTCATCTGCAGAGAGCTTTCAGAAGTCACATAGTGTGTGTGTGTGTGTGTGTGTGTGTGTGTGTGTGTGTGTGTGTGTGTGTGTGTAGTGGGGTGGTGGTGTTCCAGAGGGTTGGTTGAAGTTAAGAGTGGAGCTATTATTGACGACCATCTGGTGTGTGTGATCCCAGAACCTCACAGGCTCAGCAGCCTTCACAGCCAAGGCGCTGTTCTTGTGTCCGAATGACCTTATTGTACACCTTGCTGTTGTGTGAAAACGTAATACTTCCAAGTTAGGATTGCGATTGTGAAGACTTAAGTTTCTTTCTACTTCAGTGCTCACTTATGTGAACTAGTTTTTTTGAGTATTAACAAGGCTGGAGAGATGGCTCAGTGTTTAAGAGCACTTGTTACTCTTACAGAGGACACAGATTCCATTCCCAGCACTCATGTGGTAACTCACAGTCATCCAGGGTCTGTCTGGCACCCCCTTCTGGTCTCTGTGGGCACTGGGCATGCAGGAGGTACATATATACACATGCAGGAAAAACACCACACATACAATAAAAATAAATAAATCTTTTTTGTTTGTTTGTTTTTCAAGACAGCGTTTCTCTGTGTAGATGGCTCAGCCGTTAAAGGCTAGGCTCACAACCAATAATATAAATCTTTAAAAAATTAAAGACCTTGAAAACTTTTAGATGGATTCAAGGTGGTATACATTAAAGTGAAGATCTATGGCACGAAATATAAAGAATAAAAGGTCAAATTCCTCCTGCTCTCAAGCCCAGTCTCTAAAAGCAATGGTCATTGATGATTTATGTGATGTTTCTGACTTGTTCCGTGTGTATGAGTGTGCATGTATGTGTGTATATGATTGAGTATATGACTCTGTGTGTGCATATGACTTAAGTATATGACTGAGTGTGACTCTCTCAGGGTGCATATGATTGAGGATATGACTCTGTGCATGTGTACATGGCTGATTATATGACTGTGTATATGGCTGAGTGTTTGACTCTGTGTGTGCGTATGACTGAGTGTGACTCTCTCTGTGTGCATATGATTGAGTATACAACCGTGCGTGTGTGTGTGCATGACTGAGTATATGACTCTCTTTTTCTGTGTATGTGACTGAATATATGACTGTGTGTGTGTATATAATTGAGTATATGACTCTGTGCATGTGTGCATGACTGAGTATATGACTCTCTGTGTGTATATGAATGAGTATATGACTCTGTGTGTATGTGTGCACAGGACTGAGTGTATGGCACACTCTGTGTGTGTGTGTGTGTGTGTGTGTGTGTGTGTGTGTGGTTAAGCAGTTGGCTGACTGGGGTTCCTGGGAGAAGCATGACTTTCTGGCTGCCTCACCCTGGGCAGGCTGCCTCCATCAGGCTCAGTGCTCGTCCACACCTGGTGGAGGGATTAACAAAATCAGTGCAGTAAGTTCTTTGGATTCAGCACACACAGTACACAGTGGAGTCTGCCATGTGGTGAGCTCCTGGGAAACATTCACTACAGTCAGCAGAAAGCTGTGTCATCTTTTCTGATGACTACAGGACATGCACAGCATGACTGCGAGCTGTCTACTGATGGACAGATGATTTTTAAAGATAGTTCTTCCACAAATATCATCCTACCAACATTCTGTATTTATGGTGATTTATATGGTGCAGATGTGATCACTCCTCTACTTACACACTTAGAGCAAGCAGTATCTCTAAAATAAAATCGAAATTTGGAATTTTAATCTGAGTCAAAGAGTTTGTGTTTTTTAAGAGAATACTTTAAAATTAGAAGCAATTTTAAAATTGTTGAAGCAATCTCAATAAAAAGTGACACAAAGAATTCCCCACGTCCCTCAGCCATTTGGGAGGGACTATGATGAGCAGTGACCACAACAGGCTACCTTAGCCCTGCTTCAGAACCTGGCTTGGGGGTCCAGTTTCCTCTCTTCACAGATGGGGGAATCCATATGCCCCCTGCCTTCCATTTAGTGGCATAAAGGACTGGGGTCCAGTGGTTTCTGACTCCCCAGAAGCTTACCTAACGACAATATGCGGCCCAGGGGAGTATCCTCTGTCCCCTCAGGAAACACCAGAAGGAAGAGAATAAGGTAAGAGAGTAGACACAGATAAGATGGCAAGATCCCCAAAGGGAGAGTTGTCATTGATGTGAGAACCTAACCTACCACTACACAGCGTAACTGACTGCCAATACACTAACCTACCACTACACAGGGTAACTGACTGCCAATACACTAACCTACCACTACACAGGGTAACTGACTGCCAATACACTAACCTACCACTACACAGGGTAACTGACTGCCAATACACTAACCTACCACTACACAGCGTAACTGACTGCCAATACACTAACCTACCACTACACAGGGTAACTGACTGCCAATACACTAACCTACCACTACACAGGGTAACGACTGCCAATACACTAACCTACCACTACACAGCGTAACTGACTGCCAATACACTAACCTACCACTACACAGGGTAACTGACTGCCAATACACTAACCTACCACTACACAGGGTAACGACTGCCAATACACTAACCTACCACTACACAGCGTAACTGACTGCCAATACACTAACCTACCACTACACAGGGTAACTGACTGCCAATACACTAACCTACCACTACACAGGGTAACTGACTGCCAATACACTAACCTACCACTACACAGCGTAACTGACTGCCAATACACTAACCTACCACTACACAGGGTAACTGACTGCCAATACACTAACCTACCACTACACAGGGTAACTGACTGCCAATACACTAACCTACCACTACACAGGGTAATGACTGCCAATACACTAACCTACCACTACACAGCATAACTGACTGCCAATACACTAACCTACCACTACACAGGGTAACTGACTGCCAATACAGAAGATTTGTCCAGCTCAAGTCTCCTGATGCAACAGCCCAAACGACCAGGAGACAGGGCAAAGTTACTGGCTGTATCCAGAGGCAGGACAACATTTGGACAAAAGGGACAGTCAGTAGGACCTAGTACTTAGATGCACCAGATGCTGGAATCATGACAAAGTTTGAATATGAAATGTCAATCTGTTGAAAGCTTGGTCCCAAACTGGTGGCACCATTCTAGGAGGTTCGGGAAATGTCAGGAGGCAGAGCCTAGCAGAGGAAAGTGTACCTGGTGCCACCATCCATCTGCCTCTCTGTTTCCTGTCTTCAAGGTGAATGACTTTAAAATGTTCTCCCTACCACAGAGCTCAGCCTCATGGAGCAATGGAGTCAAGTGGCTGGACAGAAACTTCTGGAACTTGGAGCCACACTAACTAAATCTTCCCTTATTTACGTTACTTCCTCAGCTCTTGTCATAGTGGTGAAAGGTCTCACCAACACAGACTTTATGGCAGTTATCATAAATGCGCCTCACAAACCTATATCATAAAATAGCCCAACAGTCGATTTCAAACCATCAAGCAATCAACTATTAACCCCTAAAGCAAGGAGGCCAAAGTATCACCCGTTAGCTGTGCCATCTTGGGGAAGAATTTCAATCATACTGTGCCTCAATTACTCTGTCTACATAGTGGAAATCTCAGGCTTCACCTTGGAGGCAAAGCATAGCACAGGATAGCACCATGCAGTGTCCACCAATGGCCATGTCCCTTCTGAACTAACGAGTCCGGTTCCGTGCAGGGGAGGGACACAGCTGGAGGAAAGTCTGTGTGTCTCCATCGCTCTTGTAGTAGGATACATGGGACCCATTTCTGTACAGTGAAGGTGGGGGGTGGGGAGAGGCCACTGGGGACCCCTTCACTAGAGAAAGTTCTTTGCCATTCTGTTTCTTTCGCTTCCTCTGGCCTGAAACTTAGATAGGGGTGTAACTTGAATTGCTAAATGGTCTTATTAATTAAAAAAAAAACCAGAGCCAGATATTGGGGTGAAAGCTGAAAGATCAG